GGTGCCGAGGCATTCTCTAGCTTTCTAATACATTTCACAATTTTGCTTATTGTGTGAGTAATAGTCAATTATATATAATTATTGTAGCAGGAACTAATCTAGTTCATACACATAAAGGTTTTCTACTATTGCAAAATGCCATGCAGAATGTTTTCTTTAAAGGAAAGGAAAACCAATTGAAAACAAATTAGATCAGTGTTCTCAGGGTAGACATAGAAAATGATAAAAGCTATATTAAAAATATACAGTATATTAATATTTACTCAAAATATCTGTAATAATATTTTAGGTATACTTTAGTCATTCTTAGCACAGACAATAAAAATTTAGCTCATTTACATTTTAAACAATGGATATGTTAATTATAATTGAAAGACTCTGGAACTCCTATCTTCATTGGTTCATCAGTTATTTGAGTGTCATCTGTAAGGCTTTAACCATTTGTTTGATGTGAAGTATTTAGAGGTTAATTACATGATCAGGAAAGCAACTTTATCTGTTTGTCTTCAAGATGTTGATTGCAGCTTATTTGACAGTGTCAGAGCTTCAATTTTGCATTATTAGCATAGATACCTTATTTCTATTTAATCTGAAACATGTTTCTTAATCTATCATATTCAGAAACCTATCCTAATTTATCATTTAAACCTGGATGTAAAAATATATCTAATTAGTAATCTTTTTTTAAAAGGTATTTACTATGCAGGATCTACTACAACTCATTAACATCAACCCTGCCTCCAGTCTCTACAGATCACTGGTAGGATTGCTTAGTTTTTATAACCTGCTTTGGTTTGTTAATTATAATGGAATAGTTGAATAAAGGTTAAATATTTTCTTTTAACAGATTTCTGGATTTGAAGAAAACCAAAAAGGTAAGAGCCTTCATCTTTGTAGAGAGTAGTAGCATTTTGTATGTACTTTTTCCTGTAAAAGAAGCTAATGACTTTTAGGGGGAAGAATCAGAAATTTAATTTGAATTAAATCATTGGATTTTCCTTGCTGACCATATTTTCCCTTTTAAATAAACAATAGTTCATCTGTTCTGACACATGTAGGTCATTTCCCCTGTATTTTCATTTTTGTAATAACTTATAAATACTTTTAAAAACCGCATATAGTATCAAGAGCCCTACAAACTAGTATGACTGAAGAACTGAACTTTTTGTTTAAATTTAATAAGCCATACATGAAGAGTGGCTACCATACCATAACTAAGGTATATAGTTAGTATCTGCTGTTTAAATATTTCAGAGGGAAATTTAGGGCTTGAAGGGATATTAAATAAGCCACATGCTTACTGTAGGTACATTATTTTTAAAAATAGGGAGAGGGGTTGTTTTGTCTTTTTATCTTTGTACAGCTTCTTTAAATACTACTGGTTTAGAAAGACATCTGATAAGACAGCCCTTATCAGCTTTACTCAGCATCACAGTACTGTTTCTGGAACTGAGAAAACTGTAAATAACAGACATGTTAGGCATCCTCATCCAAAATTTGGAAAGAACCCATCACTAACAATAGCACAGCTATTGCTGAAGTAAAATGGTTTTATAAATTGATGGGTTCTAATTAAGAGATTGCGGTAATCAGAAAACACAGAGGAAGATATTTTGTACCTCACTGTTGTCTGTCCCCCAACTCAGAGACCTGCTGTGGTCTTATCTTACTATACCTATACTCAGGCAATGCTGAGCTGTTGAATGGTCATTGTTCTTTTTCTTAGTTGCTATTCACCCATTATTCCCTTTCCTAATATTACTTTCAGATATAACAATATCTATAAAATAATGGGCAGAAAATTTGGATAAGGGTAGGAAACTTGGACATTGGCTTTTTAATTTCTGGAAGTTAAAATCCTTACCCATGATTGGCAAAAGAATAGACCCATAGATCAATGTGACAGAATTGGTCCAGAAATAGGTCCACACAAATAGTCATTTTTTTTTTAAGAAAGGTAGAAAGCAGTTTAACGGAGGAAGTGTAGTCTCTTCAACAAATGGTGCTAGAACAATTAGACTTCCATATGCACAAAAATGAGTCTAGATACAGATTTTGTACCTTGCACGAAAACTAATTCAAAGTGAACCATAGAACTAAATGTCAAATGCAAAACTACAAAACTTTTAGACAAAAGCGTAGGAGAACATCTATGTGACCTTGGGTTTCATGGTGAGGTGTAACACTAAAAGGATGATATATGAAAAAAAAATCAGTTAGACTTCATTAAAATTAAAAGTAGCTTTCATCTCTGTGAAAGATACTTTTGAAGGGATGAAAACAAATTATAGACTGGGAGAAGTTATCTGTAAAACATATCTGATATAGGACTTATGTTCATGATATACAAAGAATTCTCAAAACTCAATGCTAAAAAGACAACCCAACTAAATAATGGGCAAAGGATCCAAAAAGACATCTTACTAAAGAAAATACACAGATGGTAAGTAAGCATAGAAAAGATACTTTTATCATTTGTCATTAGGGAAATGCAAATTAAATCGACAGTGGAGTACCACTGTACTTGTATTAGAATGATTAACATCCACAAAACACAACACCAAATGCTAGTGAGACTGTGGAGCAAGAGGAACTCTGATTTGTTACTGATGGGAATTCAGAATGTTACCACCACTTTTGGATAGTTTGGTAGTTTCTTACAAAGGTAAACAGCCCTACCGTATGATCTATTAGTCATACTCCTAGCTATTCACCCAACTAATCTGAAAATTCTGTCCACACAGACACCTACTCATGAATGTTTTAGCAGCTTTATTCATAATTGCCACAAGTTGGGATTGATGGAGATGTCCTTCAGTAGGTGAATGATAAATGAACTGTGGTACAGCCAGACAGTGGAATACTATTCATCCCATAGGAATGAGCTTTTAAGCCATGCAAAAATATATAAATGAATCTTAAATGCATATTGTTCATGAAAGAAGCCAGCCTGAAAAGGCTATATGTTATATGATGCTTTTTTTTTTTTTTTCCAGTTTTTGGCCAGGGCTGGGTTTGAACCTGCCATCTCCAGCATATGGGGCCGGCGCCCTACTCCTCTGAGCCACAGGCGCCGCCCATATGATGCCATTTTTATGACATTCTGGAAAAGACGTACTGTAGAGATGATAGATCAGTGGTTGCCAGGAATTTGGAGGGAAAGAGTGGGGAAGTTGAATAGGTGAAGAGGCACAGGGGAGTTTTTAGGGTGGTGAGAGTACTCTGTATGATACTATAATGGTAGATATGTGGCACTATATGTAATATTTGTCAAAACCCATAGAACTTTACAGCTCAGAGAATGAGCCTCAAATATGTAAATTTAAGAGGTCAGGTGATCCTAGGATGGAATACAAACTGTGACAAAACAATCCAACTCTAGTTGCCTCAGTGAAAGGGGGGAAGAAAGGTGCCAAGCTAACTAATTTTGGAGGCTTCAAGAAACCAAAATCTTCTGTAAGTGTGCTAATGGTTTAACTATTCAGAAGGGTATAAAGTAAAAGAAAGGTAATAATTTCTGCCCATGTTCTCCAGTCTTACACTCTACTGATAACTAGAATTAATAGTTTCTCTTTTACCCTTCTAGAAGTCTGTTTGAGCGTAAAAGTTTATTTATAACTAACACGCACACAATCATCAATAGAATCGTAGTATAGATACTGTTTTGAAATTATTTTATCCACCAATGTATCTTTCTATACCAGTATATTTAGACACATTATTTTTAAAGACTGTATTAGAGATTTTGTTGTTTTATTTGCTTTTTGTAATCAGAGACAATGTGTAGTGTTTACCCTTTGTGCCCTTGTGAAAGTATTGCTGTGTAAATTCATAAAAGTAGAATGACTAGGTTAAAGGATACATGGTTTTTGAACACAGGAGCTCTGACAAATTTCCCTCCCAAGTGAATGAACATGGCCATATCTCTACTCCCTTGCCAACACTTAGTATTGTCAAAGTTTTAATCTAAGCAATGTTATAGGTAAAATATAGTCTCTCTTTTGTATTAATAATTTGTATAAACTTGTGTTTATTCAGTGTTTTAAAATTCAGATTTATTTGAACCTATTTTTCTGTGACCTGTTTAATCTCTGTCTTTCCTCATTTTTCTGTTTTACTGATTTGTAAGAGCTCTTTATTATGAAAATTAGTCCTCTATATCATAAATTTTTTTGGTATCACTTTTCTTTCTTTCTTTTTTTGAGACAGTTTCACTTTGTTGCCCGTGGTAGAGTGCTGTGGTATCACATCTCATAGCAACCTCAAACTCTTGGGCTTAAGTGATTCTCTTGCCTCAGCCTCCCAAGTAGCTGGGACTACAGGTACCTGCTATAAAGCCTGGCTATTTTATTGTTGTTGTTGTAGTTGTCACTGTTATTTAGCAGGTCCAGGCAGGGTTCGAACTCACCAGCTCTGGCATATGTGGCTGGTGCCCTAACCACTGAGCTATGGGCGCCGAGCCTGGTATCATTCTTCATTTCATTTTATTTCATGCCATATATGTTTTTAATTTTTATATGGTTGGACTGATAAATTGCTCTTCTTATTCCTTCCAGACTTTGCATCATACTTGGAAAGGTCTTTCCTCAAATTATTCTTTAAAGATATAATAAAAGCTTCTTTAAAGATATAGTATAAAAAACGAAAATGTTATAAAACCAAGATTGTATAAACAGTATCTGAGTAATGGTTGAACAAAAGAAAGTTCTGAAACAAAACTATATTGTGTTTTGTAGGTTTTCTTATGCAGTTTTTAAAAGAGTTGGCAGAATATCATGAGGCAAAGGAGAGTTGTGATACAGAAACTCAGACAAGTACATTTCTTGGCATAGATTCTCTTGGTAATTATAACCTTTCTTAAGTCCAATTTCTTCTCGTATGTTATTACAAAAAGAAATACCTAGGCTGGGCATGGTGGCTCATGCCTATAATCCTAGTACTCGGCGGGGCTGAGGCTTATGGATTGCCTGAGCTCAAAAGTTGGAAACCAACCTGAGCCAGACCTAGACCCCATCTCTAAAAATAGCCAGGTGTTGCTTTGGCTGCTTGTAGTCCCAGCTACTTGGGAGGCTGGGGCAAGAGGGTTGCTTGAGCCCAAGATTTTGAGCTATGACCCCATGGCATTCTACCCAGGGTGACAGAGTGAGACTGTGTCTCAAAAAAAAGTTAATTAAAAATAAATTATGTGCTTAACCTTTTTCTTGGACTGCCCCCTTTTTTCTTTTCTTTCGTGGTGGAGTTTATTCTCACCTGGGCTAGAATGCAGGGCTATCATCATAGCTCATTAAAACCTCAAACTTCTAGGCTCAAGTAATTCTGCCTTAGCCTTCTGAGTAGCTGGGACTACAGGCTTGCCCCACCATGCCCAGCTAATTTTTCTGTTTTTTTTTTTTTTTTTGTGGAGATGGGGGATCTCAATCTTGGCTCAGGATAGTCTGGATCTCCTGGCCTCAAGCAATCTTCCTGTCTTGGCCTCCCAATATGCTAGAATTACAGGTGTGAGCCACGATGCCTGGTCACCCTTACTCTTAAATAGTAATGGTGCTTTTAACTTGTGAGAAGATATGTTCATGATTTGCAAAACCTGTATTGTATAACTATATAGCTAGGCCTTTAAGTATAAGTTTAGTTGCATTGTAAACATATTACATACTTAGAATAAAGCAGTGCTGGACATTAATGTGAGCCACATATATAATTTTAAATTCTAGTAACTATATAAAGTTAAAAGAAATAGGTGAAATTTGTTTTAATAATATATTTTGTTTAACCCAATACATCCGGAATATTGTTTCAACATGGGCTCAATATAAAAAAAAATCTTACATTTATTTTTTGTACTAAGTATTTTAAATCTGATTTTTTTTTTTTTTGCACTTAGAGCACATCTCGATTCAGACTACCTACATTTCAAGTATGCAATGGCCACAAGTGGCTAGGGAGTCTTGTGTTAGCATAATTAGGGCATTTGGAAAATATAGAAAAAATGATGGAAAAACATATCTAAAGTCGTGCTTACCAGAGACAAACACTGTCAATATGTTAATCTGTTTCTTCTGGTCCGCCCCCCCCCCGTACATACTTTTTCATGGTTGAAATTATACTCTTGGTTCAGGTTTGTACTCTGCTATGTGATTGATTAAGACCCACAGTTGGTTTGAGGGCCATTCGCCTGGTGGAAAAAACACTGGCATGAAAGGCAGTCAGAAGGTCTCACTTTAGTCCCATTTGTGCTATTATGGGGTTGCCTAACTTTCTGGGAATTACTTAAACTGCATGAGCATTTGTTTTTTCTCTGCAAAGTGGAGAGGTTGAAATACATGATCTTTGATTCTTTTAAAGTTATTGTTTTGAATGTGTAAGTCAACTTTAATCAAAGTTCAAAAAAAGAAATCTCTGCCTTGGTGCTTAGAGACAAGGAGGATACTCCAGTATTTTCTAAATTAAGCTGTGACATCCCAATGTTTTCTCTTAAGTATACTCTCTACTTTTGACCAGAGGTCTGGCCTCTGTGCACCTGACCATGTTTATATATCCTGTTATTTTTTTAATAGCTGAGAAGCTTCAGCTTATTGATGAACAGTTTGCAGGTGTTTACCCTCAGCGTGCCAAGTTAGAGTGTCTAGAAATAAAGTTAAATGATTATAAGAGAGAAATAGAAGAGCAACTTCAGGAAGAAATGTGTCAAAAGGTAAGCTTTATCTTATTGCTCTTAACAGAGATATTTTTGCTTGTCTTCTAGTATCTTAATGTTAGGTATATGGGAAAATATTTAGAACCTTTATTAAAGAATGGGATAACATACTGTTGTACATATTATTTTTATTTCTAATGATGTCTTTTGTTTATGCCTTTGAATGAATCCTACAGGTACAGTGAAAGAGATAAAACTAAAGATGAATTAAGCTAAATGTAATATATTTGGATGGAACATTAATATTAAACCTAGCCTTGGAGAGAAGTTTGTCATTATTTCTTTAGTAATTGGTGAATTTTGGGGAATCAATTTGCAGTTGAAGTATTTTAAAGACACCGAAATAGCAAGAATTAAAATGGAAGAGAAAAGAAAGTATGACAAGGAATTAGCTGAGTTCCAGAATGAATGTGAGAAAGCTTATCAGGAAAAATCTGAAGCCCTCATTTCTCGGGAAAAGAATACCTTTGAGAGAATTCAAAAGCACCAGGAGGTAATATTTACAGATAATTCATTGAGTGGGTATTTCCTGCAGCTGTTAGTGGGTTGCCTCAAGATCCAGGAATGAAATGGGACAAATGATGGAACAAGGCCCTAGGGAGGGACTCGGCCAACTGTGCAAATGAAGAATGGGTTTCGAAAAAGGATATGCAGACTTCTTTCTTCTGAGATTGGTGGAAAGGAAAGAACTGTGGAGGTGAACATACATGTCAGGATTATGAGAAATTTACACTAAATAGGCACTGTCTCCTGAGGCAGATTAGAGGATTAGGTAGTGGGTTTTAGTAGCCACCTAGAAGTGTGAAGCAGCTTCTGTGGTCCGGGAATAGCTTCTTTAACAGAGAGGCCTGGTCAAGCTGTGGTGAATGTCCAGCTGATGGGGGGAGCCTGGAATTGAGAGATCAAACCATGTGCTTGTGAATTTTCTCTTCTAGCTCTGGAGAGAATTTGTAATTTGTGTCTTCTTCACCCCTCTCAGGGCAAAAGGATAGAGGTGTTCAGGGAGTAGAGCTTTGCGGAGCTTAATTTTGTTGACTTGAGAAAGGTAGCCTATTTAATAGAAGACTCTGGGCCTGTTGGGTGGTGAGGTGACCCAGAGGATAGGGCAGGTGGCTCCTAACTTAGGTATAAAGAGAGGGTTATGTGGAAGTGTCAGTGATCAAAGGGTAGGTCGGGAGATACTGGAGGTGGAAATAAGGACCGAGAGTACAGAGTTGCAGGATGAGGGGAGGGGTAGTAGGCAGTCCATGTCAGGAGGAGGGATTGGATTGACTCCTTTGGGAAAACATATTCCTTTTCTAAGGACGTGTCTTTGATCAGACTGGATTCATGGCACTATTTCCAGTGTACATCAAGAACTACTTCTGTACATTGAAAGTAGGAGGGTGTCCCCCTAGTGTCTGCCCTTGCTTGGGACTTCTCAATAAACACCTGGTTATTTGATGGTAAATACATCCCCTCTTCAATTCGGTATAGCATTTCTGGGAATTGGACTCATTTCAGCTTGGAATCACAGATCTTTGAGATGATTGTATTGTTAGATTAACAACTTTGGCTTCAGTGTAGGTGACTGCCTATAACCCTATTTACTTTGATTATATGAAAGCTTTGAAGAAGGATTATCATCCTCATAAAAAGCCCCGTGTCTTTATTCCTTCACCTGGAATGTCCGTCCCCGTCTTCCCTCAAAACTACTATCCTTCAAGAACTAGCTTGACTATCACCTCAGTGACCCATTTCCTGACTCCCCTGAGTGACTCACTTAGGCCCAATTCCTACATGTGCTACTTATGTACTTCAGGAATGAAATCATCACATCTTAGTGTGATTGTTTGTCTCAAACTCTTGAGCTCAGCCAATTCATCTGCCTTGCCCTCCCAGAGTGCTGGGATTACAGGCGTGAGCCGCCATGCCCTGCCTCTTAATGTGATTGTTTCTCTCTCCCTGACTCACACTTGTGAGATCCTTAAAGATGGGGACTATTATCTGCCTGTCTTTTTATATCCAGCTCCCAGTGTGCTGCTTGACATATGATAGGTAGTTCCTTGTGCAGTGAACACATAAATGGAAGGATTGCCTGCTTGTTCAGTAGTTTGTAGGCACTTAGAAACACTGAGTCAGAATGACCCATGAACTGGAACATTCAGACACTACCAGTACTAAGGGGATTCTAATCTTTTGGCTTTATTGCTGAATGTACATTTTGCTTAATTTTTATTGCTGAAGAACTTAAATGTTTAAGTGAGGGATGTTGACGAACTAAGTAGAATAATTAAAACAAAGGATGTTAGGAATATTAATAGTTACTGGGGAGCAATTTTTTTGTGCAAGGGAATAAATTTTTATGCATCTAGAATAGGCAAAAAGCATACCTTGAAGTGGAATCTCTTGAAGGTTACATTCTTACCCTAGATATCTGTACTTCGATTGTTTCCTGGAATTTAGGAAGCAGTATATTAGTTCAGATCTGTTTTATTTTCTTCAGCTTACTTTCTAAAAATTAACAATTTCCTATATAGATGGAAACAAAAGAAATTTATGCTCAAAGGCAGCTTCTATTGAAAGATATGGATTTACTAAGAGGCAGAGAAGCAGAACTGAAGCAAAGAGTTGAAGCTTTTGAATTGTAAGTATTGCATGTTCATTTTGGATATTTGGAATGAATGAGAGTAAAAAGAATTACTAAATATATCAGTATTCTAATGTTAAATTTCTAAGTCTTGGTTATAAAAGTGATATCACCTAGCATTAGAAAGTACAAGTTAAGAGAAATAAACACTAGAGTTTTGCTTTTTAAATGCTGGACATTAAGATGAAAATCAGAATGAAATGACATCATCAGGCTATAGTAAGACCAGGTAGATAATTTGGAAAAGTTAATAATGCTTGAACAGATCATATGTTTTACAGTTGTGTCCAGTCAGTCATACCTGATAGTTTGATGTGTGTATTGTATAATAATTGAATTCCATATATCCAGGCCTGCAGCATTTACAGGATCTGTGTTCAAAAAAGGGAAATGTCATGGTCTGACTTGTATTGGGTGAAACTACTGGTGTGTGTTGCTCTCATTGCTCACAAATATGTCATCCTTCAAATCTTACCTGTGATTGGTAGCAAGTTCATTCATCTATAGTTTGTGCAGTAAACCCTCTTATTTAGAACCTGCTGTTGATATTCCTAGATACTCCAGGAATCTTGGTTCATTAAAAAATTTGTTTCCATCTTCATTAATGTTTTCTCATTTCTGAAAACTGATTTTTTTCTTTTTGGCAATATTTAAGAGGTAAATTGATCAAGGGAGAGAAGAGGAAAGGAACAGAATTTGAGCAGAGAGAATTCATGATTACATAATCACTTCCTTACCTCCACTTTCTCTATTCCTCTTCATGCCTTCTAAGAAAGTAAGCAAAATAAATGTAGTCTGCTGCTCCTGGCTTTCCAGATGAGCCAGCAGAGGGAGCTAATACATAGCACCTTTACCTGTTCTTGGACTAGTCAGTTCTGTAGCACTTCTCAGGTTGGCTGGATCTCAGCACCTGGGAACCCTACTCTTCTGCTTGGGAATTGGTGCTATGGTTGGTTTAAAGTCTCACTATGAAGACCATTCCAATCTTCAGTATTTGGAAGCCCTGATCGATTTATCTTTTAGCTCTCTCTTCAATATTCAATCAATAGATTATTAAGTGATAACAAATCTTCCACCTTTAATATCTATGGGGTAAGCAATTAGATCTCACAGTTAGAAGCAGTGTTATAGAAGAGACAAGCACATAGCTATAGTAACTTAAGTCTTGTTTGTAACACTGTAACTAATGATATCTTTCTTTCACCCCTGAATTGATTATAGCCATTTATTACCTGCAGCCGTGAAACGTTATTTGTCTTCTAGCAGAAACCACTTTGGTCTTGACTCTCTTCCACCACCCCCAGCCAGGTCCTGCCGCCTTTGGCTCCCTCTGCTGGAGCCTGTATTCTGTACCTAAGTCAGTTCATAAAACACATAGAAGACTTTGGATTCTTCCCTTTTACTGCCTGGTAGTGACAGTCACATAAGTTTCAGCTTATTGAACTAAAAACACCTGGTATTTTTTCCCCCTATATTTGTTACCTCAGATATTATAGTTTATTTGCTTTGCCTATTTTTTACTAATTTCAGGACCCAGAAGCTCCAAGAAGAGAAAAATAAAAGCATAACTGAAGCACTTAAGAAACGGGAACAGGATTTAAAGAATATTGAGGAGACCTATGACCAAAAGCTCAAGAATGAAATTCTAAAGTAATTACTTGGCCCTTTTTTTTAATTGTTTGACATTTTAAAAGAAGTAATGTGTTTGAATTAACTTGGTGGAAACATGACAAAAACTGATGAAATAGTCTTATAAATCACATTTTATGGCAAAATTTAGTGTTTGAAAAAATATACATTTTCATCAAGTTAGTCCTTTACCATGAATATTTGAGTTAGGGTAGTTTTTAAAAGATACTGTATACCTGGGCACAGTGGCTCACGCCTGTAATCCTAGCACTCTGGGAGGCCAAGGTGGGTGGATTGCTTGAGCTCATGAGTTGGATAGCAGCCTGAGCCAGAGCAAGAGCCCATCTCCCAAAAATAGGCAGGTGTACTGGCACACATTAACTACTGAGGAGGCTGAGGCAAGAGGATTGCTTGAGCCCAAGAATTTGAGGTTGCTTGGTGGTGCCAGTAGCTCAGTGGGTAGGGTCCCAGCCCCATACACCAAGGCTGGCGGGTTTGAACCCGGCCCAGGCCAGCTAAACAATGACAACTGCAACAAAAAAGTAGCCAGGCATTGTGGCAAGTGCCTATAGTTCCAGCTGCTTGGGAGGCTGAGGCAAGAGAATCAATTGCTCAAGCCCAGGAGTTTGAGGTTTTGCTGTAAGCTATGAAGCCACAGCACTCTACTGAGGGTGACATAGTGAAACTCTGTCTCAAAAAAAAAATACATTGTAAAGAATTGCATCCTCTCCTTCTTACTCATAGCTTTGCTAATATTTATTGAGGGACTGTGATTTGCTTTATTTTTTATGGCACCTTGATAAACTGTAATTGGAATTACAATCACTTTTACTTCTCTTTTCCTCTACCTAACCCTATTCATATTGCCAGTAAGATGGGGCTATCTAACAATTTAGAAGTTATTATACTTAGTGATCGCACCATTTGTCAATGAACTTGGGTTCTGCAAAGCCAGAATCAAGGATGGCGCCTGTGGCTCAGTGGATAGGACACTGGCCCCATATACCAAGGGTGGTGGATTCGAACCTGGCCTTGGCCAAACTGCAACAAAAAAATAGCCAGGTGTTGTGGTGGGTGCCTGTAGTCCCAGCTGAGGCAAGGGAATCACCTAAGTCTGGGAGTCGGAGGTTGCTGTGAGCTGTAATGTGATAAAGCAAGGGCCATAAAGTAAGACTCTGTCCCTAAAAAAAGCCAGAATCAAAAGAACCTAAGTGAATTATATGAAGCAGTGATATAGGGAAAGGCTTTTCAATAGTCTTGAGTTTTGTGTACCAGTGAATAATATCCCAGCGCAAAGATGTTGCACCCACCTGGGTGGGTGGTATGATATCTGGCACATGAAAATGCTCAGTTAACATTTATTGAGTAAATATATAATGAAGAGATCACTCAACTCGGGTGTTGTAGGAATTTTTTATTTGGCCCCTTATCTATTAATTTTGAAATGATGGGTTTTTCTGACATCTGTTATGTCAGCTATACTAAAACAGTAAACACTGAAGTATCTGTAGTTGCTAAACTTTTAGGAAGAAATGAATAAAAGTGTATATGTTAATTTCACATCACTATGGAGATAATAGACTCTTTAATATCATTGTGACATCTTCCACAGCCTTTGGGGATCCTCATGTGACTTTGGTAAGTGTTGAAGCTGGGAGGATATTTACCACAGGAGTGCTTCTCTTCCCTTTTTTCCATCTCAGAACCAGAAGGGCAACTGGTAACAACTGGGGAAGAGAAGTAAAACTTCATGCAGATTTGCCTTTTGGCATTACTAATCCAGATGAAATGCTCTTGGCAGTTGGTTCTCAAGACTGTGCTTAGCCCCTGAGGACAAAAGTACTTATATCTTGGTTGCAGGTGGGGAGATAGTACACATGGATTGGAAATGACTGCCTAGTTATCATTTGGGATTTAGTCTATTATGTGCTGTGTTACGTTTCACTTAATTTATCTCTGTTCTTTTTGTCAGTGGAGACCAATTGAAAAGTGGTTGCTTTTAGTAATCTCATGATGACATGACCCTTCATTTTGTGTGATTGAGTTTTGGGACCAAATTTACAGGATAAAGGCAGGGTTGGACCTCTTTTTTTTTTTTTTTTTCCTTTTCCCCACAGTTTCACTCTGTTGCCCAGGCTAGAGTGTTGTGGCATCAGTCTAACTCACAGCAACCTCAGACGCCTCCTGGGTTCAAGCCATCTTTCTGCCTCTGCCTCCTGAGTAGCTGGGATTATGGCACCTGCCAGGGTGCCCAGCTGGTTTTTCTTTTTTTAGTAGAGAAGGGGTCTTGTTCTTGTTCAGGTTGGTCTGGAACTCCTGAACTCAAGGGATCCTCCAGCCTCAATCTCCCAGAGTGTTAGGATTACAGGTATGAGCCATCATGCCTAGTCTTTATGGACCTTTTATGTTCAAAATTCTGAACCCCTGGCCTTAGTACTGAGAGACTCAAAGTTTACACATTGTCATTTTTAGCATGTGCCCCTGTACCATAGATAAGCTTTTCATTCAGTCATTCTGATTCTTAGGTATCAACTAGAACTAAAAGATGACTATATCACCAGAACTAATAAACTGATGGAAGATGAAAGGAAGAATAAAGGTAATTTCTGGGACAGCGGGGAAGTTCTGTTTGTCAGTTCTAATGTAGGTTATTTAGCTTCCTGGATTGGGAGTTTTCTACATTCTCAAAAATATGTAGCTTACACTTCGTTATTCTCACAAAATCACACTTTTTTGTAATTTCAATTGTATGAAATTATCTTTTGCTACCTTTTTGGAAACCTTCATGTTTAAAATTTAGTCATAAAGGCCAGTGCTTTATTGTCAGTATTTACCCAACTTTATTTCAATATATTTTGATCAGTAAATCTGTGATTGTCAGGAAGGCTGTCAGGTACATGTTGCTCCTAACCATGAGGGACTTGTTTTTTAGTTGTGGAAAATTTTAACTTCTCTGTCCCTTGTGATCTAGTTTCTTATTTTATTTCTGATATATTTTTATGCTTTATATTATTTCTACTTGATCTCCTAAACTCTTGTGTATCTTGGACTGAGACTATGGAGGTTGAATATTTTTCTTCAGTTATTTTACTTTTCAATACATTTATAGGAAATTTCCTGTAACAGGAAGTTGAACTTTGGGTGGAAATTTCAAACAGATTCTTGAGAGTAAACTAGAACTGGCTACATGATGTCAGCCAGATACCCAATGTATTTGATGTGATTGATATCCATCTTCATCCAGTAGTTCTTCATTTCCATCTGTGTGACTACTCCTTTTGCTGCTGTCCTATGGAGACTCATACTTCTCTTGTGGCATACTACCATCCCATGTTTAACAAATTAGGTTAGATTTGTTAGATGAAGTGAAAACTACAAAATATTAACAGATCTCTGTAAGAGATAAGCGCTCTTAGCATCAGGGCCCTGTGCTCTGATAGGGTGGTCTAACTCTGCTTAGTATGTGCAGCAGCTGGAATTTCATTGCATATGTGACAGTTGTAGCTTCACATCACCCATTGGGTAACAGGGTTATTGTTATTTTTTTCTTTTTGAGACAGTCTCACTCTGCCACCCTGGGTAGAGTGCCTTGGCAGCATCATAGCTTACAACAACCTCAGTCTCTTGGGCTCAAGCCATCCTCCTGCCTCAGGTTTTGAAGTAGCTGAGACTACAGGCACCCACCACAATGGCTGGCTAGTTTTTCTATTTTTTTCTAGAGATGGAATCTTGTTCTTGCTCAGGCTGGTCTCAAACTCCTGAGTTCAGCCAGTTCACCTGCCTCAGCCTTCCAGGGTAACAAGGTTTATTCTATACTTGTCTATGAAATTTTTCATCCCCACGTCTGCTATTTAGACTATGAAATAATGATCATTAGGTTTGACATACTGGCCATAATATTAGATAGCTTTTATATTCACTTGAAAAACATGATGCTTATAATTGGTGGGTTCTTTATTTCAGAAAGAGCTGTTCATTTGCAAGAGGAGCTTATAGCTGTTAATTCAAAAAAGGAAGAACTTAATCAATCAATAAATCACATGAAAGAACTTGAGGTAATTGTTAATCCTGTTTTTTGAAGTAGATTTTAGACAATATGTGAAATTTCCATTTTAGTCATACATAATTTATCTTATAAGCCATCCTTTTGATATGTTTGGATTTTATTATGTGGCTAAGAAGAAGATGGCCGAAGTTAATTCAGTAGTTCATTTCCATCTAAGTCACATAGTTGGAAGTGTGGATAGAGCTTTGGGTCCTGCAGTCCTGCTTAAATCCTGTCCATGTCTATTACTGCTTGTTTGCCTTTGGGCGAGTTCTGTGACTGCAGATCCCTGGTCTGTAAACTCTGGGATATTTTCCACATCATATGGTTGTTGAGGGAATTTTTTAGCTAACTTACACACCTAGCACATAGCAGGTGGCCAAAACTACCGCAGTGTTTTCTCTCTTCCCATCAGCAACAGGTAAAAATTCTTACTGTATCATTATCATGCAGGTTAGAACAAAATGAGATACATTTTTCACATACCACTGTTTGTTAGTATGCTTGCTGTCTGGAGGATAGAGCTGGAGCTTTAGACACTTACATATTTTGTATGTAAGATTTGTTGCAACTGTGATGATTTGAGCACTTTGTAGGCTTTTATATCCAAGTATGAAATAACAGTAAGAAAAGGGAAGCACTTTATAACATGTTAGAGATCATTTCTACCTCACCTTTTCCTTTAAAAAAATACATATAGCGGGCCTCAGTGGCTCATGCCTGTAATCCTAGCCCCCTGGGAGGCTGAGGAAGGTGGATTGCTTGAGCTCAGGAGTTCGAGACCAGTCTGAGCAAGAGCAAGACCCTGTCTCTACTAACAGTAGAAGAACTAGCGTGGTATCATAGTGGGTGCCTATAGACCAAGCTATTTGGGACACTTAGGCCAGAGGATCTATTGACCCCAGGAGTTTGAGATTGCTGTGAGCTGCGATGATGCCATGGCACTCTAGCCTGGGTGACAGAGTGAGACTCTGTCTCAAAAAAAAAAATAATGTTACAATGTATGATTGTTACTGGGTCCTCCATTGTATCTGGAAGATAGGGTGATTATCACAAGCAGTTGCTTCAGAGGACAGGAGTCTGTAGAATTCAAGTTAAAAGAACTTCTGCCACAATTATGAGGGCAGACAATAACTTTATCTGCTATAGTTAGTGTCTTACTGTTGCAGAGAACCCAAATTCTGTTAGTAAATAATGGCGCCTACTTAAAGCAGCCTGCTACTTTTTACTTTTGCAGTAACTGTAAAGTCATCATTTACATGTGTAAGTTTTCCTTTTTCACTTCCAGCTTGAGTTAGAGTCTGTTAAAGCCCAGTCTTTGGCAATGACAAAACAAAACCACAGGCTGAATGAAAAACTTAAAGAGATGAGTGATTATTCACTGCTAAAAGAAGAGAAACTGGAGCTTCAGGCACAAAATAAGCTACTTAAACAACAATTGGAAGAGAGTAGAAATGAAAACTTGTGTCTCCGAAACTGTATGTCTTTTTAAAAAATTGCATGTTTTAGTAATTCATATTAAGTCAATATTAAAAAACTGCTTTGTACCTGTAACAGAGGTTTACACTGGGAAGATTTTATAAAGTTAAGATTTTGGGATTGAAATTATTTCCTTTTTGCATGCTATTTCATAATTAGTCTCACTACTAGAGTACTTCTCACTGTAAGAAGAAATTTTTTTTCCTGTCACTTAAACATGTTTAAACTCTACAAATGTGCCTCTGGAGTATTGGGGCTCCCCTTGCCCTTTGACTGCTGGTTGGGTTTGTCTGGGATTTGAGGGTGGTGGGAGACACCAGCAAACATATGGATGAAGGAGAGGGAGGAGACCTAGGCAGAGGTTGCGGTCATCCCCATCCCCACCCAACCTCCACATATAGTGACCCTAACCAGGCTCCTGTGCCTCTCACCAATGGTCTGTGCTAGCTCCATCTCTCCAATGCTGGAATTTCTCTTTCTTGTGATCCTCCAGGCCCATGAATAGTCCTTTTACTAGCCCAGGAAAGTCCACCACTCTTTGTGGGTACCCTGAATAAGTTGCCCTTTATTAAAGTATCCTTAGATGACCAGCATTGAGAATGCAGTCTATATGATGCCTTGGACCCCAACTGCTACCCAATTGCCTCGATCAGATTGGATTTGGGGGGGGCATGGACAGGCAGACCACATAGCTCCTTCTCTGCCCTCTCTGCATGGTAGAGGAGAGAGATGGGCTTTCAGGTAAATTTGAGGATTGGAAACAGTTCTTTTACTTGGAGTAGGACTCTAAGAGTACTAAAATTTACATTAACATGCATTAAATTCTTTTGTTCTGAAATTTGTGAATCAGGATTGCTTTTACTTTATTTAATAAGATTAATATAGCCTAGCGTGGTGACTCATGCCTGTAATCCTAGCACTCTGGGAGGCTGAGGCAGGTGGATGGCCTGAGCTCAGGAGTTGGAGACCAGCCTGAGCAAGAGTGAGACCCCATCTCACTAAAGACTATAGCCTTGTGGCTATAGTCTCAGCTACTTGGGAGTTTGAGGCAAGAAGATCACTTGAGCCCAAGAATTTGAGGTTGCTATGAGTTATGATGCCATGGCACTCTACCCAGGGCAACAGAGTGAGAATTTGTCTCAAAAAAAAAAAAAAAACCAAAAAAAGATTAATATAATGTTCCTTTTCTTGGTACATAATTAACAGCAATTTTAAAATGTCTTTACTTTTAAGGATTTTTTTTTTTTTTACCTTCTTAGGTATAGCTCAGCCAGCTCCTGAGCTTATGGCTTTTCAGAAAGAATTAAAGAAGCCAGAAAATGCTACAGCATCTGAGCACAAGGAGTTTGAAAACCGCAGGGAAGCTCTAGAAAAACAGCTGCAGAATGAAGTGAGTATTGCACTTCACTGGTTCCAGTATTATACTAGTCCACTTTGTAGACAGGTTAACTTAGCACAAATCACACCAGTGTAAATCACATGTATTTTAACATCATAAATTACTCCCACGTAGCTAAAGGTATCCTTTCCCATTTGAGAAAATTCTCCAGCAGTTATATGACTTTGTACTCATAATAGTAATGAAATTAAGAGGAAAGGAGACTCAGCTAAGCATAAATTTTCTGAGTGCCTAATGGTACCCACTGTTATCTCCTGATTCTCCCCCTGAGAAATAGTACGCACGTTTGTGACGGCCTCATTTCTGCCCTGTATGCCTTAGAACAGCTGTTCTTTGATATGACTGAAAAAGGTAATGAAAACTTGTTTCTGTGTTCTGTGTGGTGGTGGTGGTAGCTTTTTTTTGAGACAGAGTCTCAAGCTGTCACCCTGGGTACAGTGCCATAGCATCACAGCTCACAGCAACTCAAACTCTTAGGTTCAAGAAATTCTCTTGCCTCAGTCTCCCAAGTAGCTGGGACCACAGGCGCCCACCACAACACCCAGCTATTTTTTTGTTGTCGTTGCAGTTGTCCTTGTTTCAGCAGGCTCGGGCGGGTTTGAACTCGGCGGCCTTGGTGTATGTGGCTGGCGCCCTACCTACTGAGCTATGGGTGCTGCCCTGTTTGTTGTTTTTTAAATAGGAATCTCCTTGTTTATTAGTGTAAAGCTTCTCAGAATTGGCAAAACAGAAAAAAGGAATACATACAATAAGAGAATTTTCCTCTTGAGGAGAGCTGTGATTTGTTTTATATTGATTTCTTTTCCCTCTCTGAATCTTTTCAGGTTGAACATTCTGCGCAGCTAAAGGCTCAACTGTTAGATTATGATACTTGTATGAAGAGGTTAACTACTCAGGTTGCTGATTTAAAATTGCAATTGAAGCAAACTCAAACAGGTTAGAGGCATTTTTAACCCACACATATCTTTGTGTGTGTGGGGGGTATAGCTTCTGATGTTTGTGAAAATAAAGTGTTTGTAATTTATTGAATTTTTAGTAATTCTTAGAGGAAAAGCGATAGAAATCAGTATCATCTTACAAGTAAAACTCCCTATCCATTTCGGGAATACCATCTGGGTTATCATGATGACCTGTGAAGGTCATTTCTTTCATGGGTGCCCCATGGCTTGGGAAAGCCTGATGCTTCAAATAGGAAAGATGTGGCGATACAGAAGTCCCCAAATTACCCTGGGCTTCTCAATTTGTTACCTGGATAAGGCCAATTGGTTATCAATAGTTTTATGTATTCCTTGATAGATAAATTTATGGGGTAAGCAGGGTGGCTTAGCAAAAAGACCATTGCTCATAGAATCAGAACTGTTTTTGTTTTAGACCTCAATTTTGAAGTTAGTTATTTGACCTTGGGCACATTACTTTAACTTCCTTGGGCCTCCATTTCCTCATCTATAATGGGGATAATAATACCTACTGGGTATTATGAAATGAGATGGATTTCAGTCCAGTTTCTGGGACATAAAAGACATTCAGGAAGTGGTGACTTAGTTTCCCTGTGTCTTGACACTTAGGTCTGTTCTTTGGCTGCTTTCAAGCTGGAGTAGAGCATGTATGTGTTACTCAGCTCAACTAGTTTCTCGCACTTCCTTGCTCTAAGCTTTCCTCAGTTCCCCCTTGCGCTCTTTCCTCATTCCCTTGTTCCCTTTTACCAGCACTAGTTTTATTTTTATCTCTTTACTCATTTCTACTCTTTCCCGTTCCTTGTTTTTTCCAACAGTTCTGTTTGTCAAACTGCCCAGACCTGAAATCATAATCTCATATCATGAAAAATAGATAAATGAGGGTGGAAGGCTTTTGAACTTGTGAGCTGCCCATGGCAAGCTTCTGACTTGTAGCATCTTGAGGAGGCACTGCAGGAGGGCAGCGGACATGTCCACTGGCCTTGCATTAGGAAGTCTCAGTTGGCTCTAGGACCTGCCACTGTGTGACCCAGCCTCAGTAAGCCTTAGTGTCCCATCCATAAAATGGGAGCAATAAGAGTAGTTAGACCACAGTGTTGTTGTAAAGTCAGGGCCTCATTCCCTTATCTGAAACTCTGGCCATACATGGTGGATTTTATAACAGCCCTGGGAGTTCTGGGGCAGCATTCCGTAATGAAACACATTAATTATTTTGCAGTCAAATGTATGAATGTTCATGCTGGAATAAATAAATTATAAATGGGTTTATATAAGTTTAGGTCAAGCTTTCAGCCAAATGAGTTCGTTTGGTTAGGGTTTGCTGCTAATAAATTATGAATAAATTTTTCAGTTCTCAAGAGCTTTTTGGATTGCAAAATTGTACATGGTGGGTCCTGAAATTCTGAAATTGTGCATTACCAGAGGAAATGTATGCAGCTTTAGAAACTGTTTAATGTATATGTTTGTCCTTATTATTGCTTTCTTTCATTGTTTAAAAAAATATTCTCTAGTAAGTATATTAGTTTTATTCCCTGCCTTGTTCCCCTCATTTTTCAAATTATGTTTTTGTAATCTGCAGCCCTAGAGCATGAAGTATACCGCAATCCAAAGCAGTCTCTGATTGATCGTTCCATCAGTGGGTTTGTAAGTGGCAAGATGGTGCCTCATGATGGTGATATAAGTGGCGATTTCGTGAATAATCCTCTTGATCAGGAAAAAGTTATATCAGATATAGTTGTACCAAAGATCACAAAGTATCTAAATGCAGGGGCGGAGGGTAATTCTCCTGATTCTGACCTTGAGTTTGTAGCCAACACTAAGGCAAGAGTCAAAGAGCTGGAGCAAGAGGCCGAACGCTTGGAAAAGGCATTCAGAAATTACCATCAGAGAGTCATTCAGACCCCTTCCAAAAGCCCACTCCCACCAAAGAGCCCACCATCTCCACACTTGCTGGAAGCTCTCAAAAACGTTACTTCCAGTTCTCCAGAAAGAGATATTTTTGCAGAGGACAGAATTATCTCTGATCAGCCTCAGGTGGGCATGTTTAAAGAGGAAAAGAGGGATACCTCAGGAGTGATGACTAGCAGCTCAGTCTCCCGGCTACGCAGGGGCACTCCCTCCAGACGCCTCTCTTCCACGCCTCTTCCAAAAGCAAAAAGAAGCCTTGAAAGTGAAATGCATCTGGAAGGTGAGCCACCGTACAAAGGGTTGTGAGATGTTCTGGAGTTGGGTGGCCCTGGGCCTCATGAGGACCTCTTAAGGGAGTGAGAGAGAGCATAGCCTGAGACCATAGGCAGTGATGGGCAGGGTGTGCAGTAGTCAACTGGGGAGCCCCAGTTGGAGTGGTGTGTCCTCCCTGAAGCCTGCGGGCTCCTGGTGACCTGTGGTGTCCCCTCCAGTACACCAGTTGGCTACAGGAGCCCGTGGGAGAAAAAGTGTCCAAGTCTAGTGTTTGCTTGGTATGCAGAGGTTTCTAGAGAGCAACAAAAGGCCTTTCCTTTGCAGGTGGTTGGTTTTATCCATCTTGTTGTTGTCACTGTAATTTAATTTACACGCTTGAATCATCGTCACATACTATACATCATTATTGGGTATTTGCAAGAAACCATGGTTTGTATCTTCTCCATGCAACTTATAATAATATTTCCCTGTTTCCTTCTGCCCTTTAGGTTTGGACAGATCACAGGTTGTTTCCCCCAGGCCTTGTCCTGACAGAATATCCCTAATGTCACCTGCCCAGTCAAAGAACAGCCTCTCTAACCTTCCCTTCCACACCCCTCCTGAGCAGAAGGCAGGGTAAGTACCACATTCTGGTCACCTTCACTGAATCGTGTTACCTGCTGTGCTCTCAGGATTGCCTCACTTGTTTATTTTTTTTAGATGTTATTAAAGATCACATGGCAGTATAAAGTTTGCAGTCAGATTGCAAAATGATGTGTGATCTTTGAGAATCATCCAAATTACCTGGGTGGGGGAGATTGCATTTAGCAAATAAATAATTACTTACTTGCTAAACTTGATATATAGAATATATGATATGGTATTAGTAAGCATCTTCATAGTTCTATGAATAGACTCAGTTTATAAAGATAAATGTGCAGAGTCTCTCAAAGCAAACAAATTAAGGTTGAGGTTATTTTTAAAGTTGGAATAATTTCACACATCATTAAAAAGTCATTTAGAAAACTACTTTGGCATTTACATATAAACAGATATGGTTTTAAATTGTTTATCGATGAAATAAATTTTAAAGTGATAGAGGGCTCTAGAGTAGGATTGTTGGAGGAGGATGGAGTGAATGATTTTAGATATTATGCCAGTAGGTCATCCAGGCTGCAATTCTAGTCACGGGTGGACTCTTGCCCATACCTGGGCCCCAGGGCAAAGAGAACCAACCCCTCCGCTCTGGGCTCATGCCTGCATGTCTGTAGGCAAGTTCTTTTATACAGAATTGAAAACTCCCACATGTACCTGTCACAGTCCTAAAGCATTTAATTTTTTATTATGCTTTCTTATGATAAAGGCAAAAGGAAGACAAGACACACACATCCCCTGAGTTAGGGCATTCTGATGTGCTCTCAGGGTTCTGGTATTGCATCTTCAACTGGTTTGTGCTGATGGCATGCAGAATTTGGATTTTTCAAAACTGTTTTGTGGTAATTAATAAATGAAACTCCTAGGAATAACATTGACAGGACAGTATTATTCTTTGTTAACAATAATTAATGATGCCTACCTCCCAGTATGAAGTGGTTACCAAGAAGTAACTGAGCAAATGAATACTCATTGCTGAGAACAGTGCCTGAGTGGTGAGCTGGCGTTATCTTTTACATGCCAAAGAGAAAGGAACTTGGTAGAGCATTTTCTTGAGTCGCAAAGGCTTTTTCTCAGCCTGTGTTCTTGGACTTACGTTATTAAAACTTCACATTCATGAGTTTATTCTCATTTAGTCTTTATCACAGAGAAGCTGAACTTCAAGGCAAAAACGTATCTTCAAATATGGACAAACTAGCTTTTAATGAGCATGAGGAATTTGGATCATCTTTTGAATGTGAGTTCAAATATAAGTACGAGTTTTTATAAGTTGAAAATGTAGAAAGCTTAGTTTTGGTGAAATATATCCATTGTATAAAAAGCAAAGCAGTTACAAATTGGGACATTTTATTTAGTGACATACATACAGATATATTGCCTCATTTTCCTATTGTGAAGATTTTTCAGGAGTGTGTCTGAGTTCTTTAAAAATTTCAGTTAAAATTGTGGCAGGCACCTGTGGTTCCAGCTGCTTGGGAGGCTAAGGCAATTTCATCTAAAGCTAAGCGCATAAATGAATTCCTAATCTATCAGATTTAAAATGAGTGATTTTTCTTTAATTTTTTCCTTTTTATGGAATACAAAGATGTTGTTTTTTTAATTATACTGAATCCAAAATAAATTATGCTGAGTCTGTTGATTGTCTCAGATTTGGAAAACTCTGTTCTTAGTGAAGGAATGAGGTAAAAGAATATTAAGAGTGCAGAAACTGTTATCCTGGCTGGGATCCTGTGTTAGGCTGACTCACTTCATAGCCCACTCGATAAGGATAGAATAGGAATGGAGAGCTGATCATCTCCATGGCTCTTTCCACTTGAAAAAAACTATGTTTTTTAATAACTTATTCTTTAGCCTTATATACTTCATGTTCTGATCTGAAAGTGTGATATTTTGAACAGTTAAATGAGAAGGCTTAGTAAACTTTGTGAAGTCTTTTAAACTTGTCAGGTAAATCATAGATATTTATTTATTTTTTAAACTTTTTTTTTCCTTTTTTTTGGCCAGGGCTGGGTTTGAACCTGCCACCTCTGGCATATGGGACCGGTGCCCTACTCCTTTGAGCCACAGGCGCTGCCCTATTTTTTATCTATTTAAATCATAGATATTTAAATAGAATTCAAATAGTTATCAGCAAATTAATTTCTTCCCTGTCACTGGATTGATTTTCCTATTGGGTAATGAATCCAATTTCACAAACCGATTTAATTCTTTTTTTTTTTTTTTGGCTGGGGCTGGATTTGAACCCACCACCTCCAGCATATGGGTCTGGTGCCCTACCCTTTTGAGCCACAGGCGCCACCCAGATTTAATTCTTTAAAGTATAAGAACACTTTCAGGGCCAGGTGCAGTGGCTGACCCCAGCAATGCTAGCACTCTGGGAGGCTGAGGCAGGAGGATTACTTGAAGCCAGGAGTTTGAGACCAACCTGGACAACAGCAAGACCCTGTCTCTACTAAGAATAGAAAAATTAGCCAGGCATACTGATGGCACCTGTAGTCCCAGATACTCAGGAGGCCGAGGTGAAAGGCTCACTCGAGCCCAGGAGTTTGAGGTTGCAGTGAGCTGTGATGATGCCTCTGCAGTCTAATCCAGGGCAAAAGAGCAAGACATTGTCTTGGGGGAAAAAAAACACTGTAAGAGAATCTGCTGCAAGCAGTTATTCCTGTAAAGAAAGGGTGTGCCCAGCTGCTTTGTGTCTAGTCCCTGCCCTACCCCTCTCTTCTTGCTGTTATTGAGGCCTCACAGGACAATGATTTGTGCCTTGTGCAGATGCAGGAAATGTGCCAAGACAATTTGAAGTGGATGGGTTCCACCCTGCTGGTGATATGCTTCATGTGGATGCTGTGGCAGCTGCTAGGCCCACTGGACCCACCTCGTATCATTGCCCAAGTATGTTTTTCTTGGTGTTAACTCACGGTTAGCATGGCCACATACCCCTGCCAGTCTGTGTGTTCTGTCAATTATTTTACGATCATTAGAGGAGTTTTTGTAGGCATGGATATTTGAAATTCTTAGAGTTGGGACTTAGTCATTTCTGAAATGACTGCCCATGTGAACATGTGAAGACAGTGCTGAGGAGAAGAGTCTGAAGGAAAGCCTTCTCATTTAGTCTTCCCAGGCCAGATTCTCTTAACAAGTTTTTCTTTAGCTCTTCAGAGTCTGGCAGAGCAATTAGGTATTTTCCTAAGAGTCTTCTGCAATAACCATTCCACAAGAGCTGTGTCATCTTGGGAAATTGTGGTGAAAAACTGAAATAATAATTAACTCCTAGTATATATCTTTAATGTGATTATAATACTTTAATGCTTTTTCTAACTACTTGTTTACTTTGTATCTTAAATTGAGACAGAAAAGCTTTGTTATTTCAGTCTTCAGAAAAGACACTGAGTTAATTCATCAGTAGAAGAAAATTGGTCATCAGACTTTTCCTGTTTGGCCTATTTTCTCTTCTCCAGATCAGCCGCTTCTCTCAGTGGGGATGGAGGGAGAGAATTTTGGGGAGATTTTGATGTCATTCCAGGGCTTAGGCAACAGTTAGGTCCTTTTCTTGTTGGACCAAAGTATTTCAGCCTCAAATTTGAAAGAAAATTTCTCAAGTAAAGCTGCCTCTTAGTCCTCCCCAACATTGAGGAAATATCATCCTCAAAACACATTCAAAGCCTCTTGGACTGGGCTAGGTGGCTCACGCCTGTAATCCTGGAACTCGGAGAGGCCAAGCAGGGTGGATTGCTTGAGCTTAGGAGCTCGAGACCATCCTGAGCAAGAGTGATAGATACCCTATTTCTACTAAAAATAGAAATACTAGCTAGGCATTATGGCAGACGTCTGTAGTCCTGGCTACTCAGGAGGCTGCGGCAAGAGAAGCATTTGAGGTTGCTGTGAGCTGTGATGCCATAGCACTCTACTGAGGACAACAAAATAAGTCTCTGTCTCAAAAACAAACAAAAAAAAACAAAGTCTCTTGTTAACATTTTCTTGGTTTAAGGCACAGTGCTTAGGAATATAAGGAATTACTGAAGGAAGTAAGGAATTTTGATTTTGGGGATTCCAGAGTAAATCTGCCTTGGAAAATTGAATGAGACTTAATATAGAGCAGCAGGTCTCAACCTGTGGGTCGCTACCCACAGGAACTGTATTAAAGGGCCATGGCATTAGGAAGGTTGAGAACCACTAATACAGAGCTTTCCCTCTGCTGGATAACTTCCTAGGGACTGAGCATACAGCAGTGAACCAAATCAAGTCTACCTTTCTGGAGCTTCTACTGGGGAGGTCACATGGTCAGCAAGCTGTCACAGAGGATACCAGCTGGGAGGTGCTGTGATAGCTAAGTAGGAGCTATGGCTATAGGCGCAAGTATCTGATAGGTGGCCATTAGACACAGACCTGAGTGAGTTAGGAGATAAAGATAACAGGATGAAATAAGGGAAATCAACTGAGTAGCTAGGTGTTCTGCCTCTGAGATGGAAGGTAGATCATAATAATGGCTTTTAAAGTAATTGTTAAGCAGCGTGGTAAATATTTTGGTTACTGAGAAATTCTATGCAGTGTTACACCTTTTCATCTAGGCATAAAGGAAAATGGAAAAAGGCTAAAACTTGATGTCTTTGAGGTGGTCAGTGAATATGCTCCTTTGCCCTCATATCCAAAGAGGTTTCCGTATGCCCCTGCAGCTATAAAGGAAACCCGAGTGGAGAAGTAGCTTTTTTTTTTTTTTTTATAATTGATACCCAAACAATGCACCTACTTTGAGATTGCTATTCTATATAAGGCAATATTAGTAGTAACCTTCTTCTTTTGCAAAGAGAAAGTTGCATTTCTGTCTATAGAGATGATTAACTTCTTCCCCTGGTATTTTAATTTCATGAGAAAGATTGAGGGGGAGACAAAGTGAAGACTTTGTTGCCTCTCTTCTATTAGTAAAACTAACTCAGTTCCTGATGATGACCTCAGAACAGGATACAATAAAAAGGTTCAAAGTCCTCTTATGAACCTGTGGATTTTTCTGTTTATTAGCACTGCATGGGTAAAATAAAGAAAAATGTAGGTTCTGGGTCAGAGCTGGAAGAGAAAGGTCAACATAATTGTCTGAGGGATTGAAATTTAATTAAACTTTTGTGGCATAGGGACCTGGGCCAAAAGTTAGAGGCAGTAGACAAGTAATTAAAACATAGGACTTGCCCAGAAGGAATAGAAGTGGAAGAAACAAGTACACGTCTGACAAAGCAAGTACAAGATACCGTGTAAGTAAGGTGCCAGAGTGGTTGTCACTTCAGGAATGAGGACCTCATAGAGGACCTGGCATTTCACTTGGGTCCTGAGTATCATTTATTCTTGTGGGAGGAAGGGAATGCAGGCTGAGGAAATAGTGAAGTTGGCTCGGTGCCCATAGCTCAGTGGTTAAGGTGTCAGCCACATACACCAGAGCTGGCGGGTTTGAACCCGGCCAGGCCTGCTAAACAATGACAACTACAACAAAAAAAAAAAATAGCCAGGCGGTGTCGTGGGCTCCTGTAGTCCCAGCTACTTGGGAGGCTGAGGCAAGAGGATCACTTAAGCCCAAGAGTTTGAGGTTGCTGTGAGCTGTGATGCCACTGCACTCTACCGAGGGTGACATATTGTAAGACTCTGTTTCAAAAACAGAACAAAACAAAATAGTGAAGCCAGAGACACAAAGCAAAGACCATATAGCTGTTGTCAGGTCCCAGTGAGTGTATTGGTACAAATTAGAGTATTTCCAGTGCAAAATCAGTGGCAATGTAGGAAATCAATCTGGAAAGCAAAAGGCAGATCAGAGCCCAGACTACTGTGGGTTTGAACTCTGCCAGAGACCCTTGCACCGCAAAGCCACGTCTTCTCCTCAGGGAATGGCTGGTGCTGACGAGGACAGATTGCTGGAAGGTAGAGACTCAGGTCAAAGAGAGCTTTGCCTCTGCTGTTTGGTAGTCCAGGGAGATGGTGAGTAAGTCCTGTAGGAAAGGAGTCCAACCTGCAAGCCCTGGTGGCGTGTAGGGGAAAAGGCATGGCTGAAGGCCCTGACCATTAGCCCAGGCATAATGCTGGGCTGTGAGGTTTCTAGGGGGCTTATGGTGAAGAACCACCAGAAACGTGGATGTGAGAATGTAGTCTGGGGGTAGACAACAGGTATAGAGGAAAAGACATAGGATGGATCTGTGTGTATGTCACTAAAATCCCAGGAAGGGCCTCTGTCAGCCTGAAGTAAGTGGGGAATGCATGGTAAGACAGGCCAAGGTAGGATGGTGGTGTGGTTCTGTTCAGGTTGAGAGAAACTTGAGTGTCTTTATGGGAGTAAGAAAGTTCTGAAACTGGTACGTACAGAGGTAGGACTGACTCCATCGGGGTTCTAAAGATGGGGAAGGGATCATAATCAAAGGCAGGGACAGAAATACAGGGTTTGCCCTGGAGAGGAGGGAAGAAGAAGAGAAAATATGATATGGAGTCAGGCATGGTGAGGATAACTTGTATTCATCTTGTGTCAAGTGAAAGGTGGGGTGTGGTGCAAAGAGATGGGGTGTTTCAGTCAATGAAAATAGAACAGCAAGTTGAAGCAGGTCAGTAGAGTCATTCTAAAACCAAGCAGAGTCTTAAAGGGTCTTGCTCAGGGCTCTTGCAAACTGGTCTTGCATTTGTTTGAACAGTCTAATGCTTTGTTTTCTGTCTAATTGGGTGTAGATCCACAACAAATGGATGAAAATGAAAAAGACAAAATATGGGAACAGCAAATGAAAGAACGAAGGCAGAGAGAAGAAAGAAGGCACAGTGACCGACATGAAGTTTTAGAAAGGGAACGAAGAGAACTGGAAAAACTGGATCAAGAAAGGGTAATGAGTACAACTCAATGCTGTGTTCTGGTTTCTCCATTGTACACTGTTAAATACATTGAGCTCAGGGGAGGGGAGTTGATAGTATTTGAAGTCGGAGGAGCAACAAGTGACTCAAAAGGCATTCTTTCCCTCTCCTTATCTTCCTTGCAGTGAGAAAGACCACATAGAACATATACCTTATGAGTTTCTTAGTAAAGGATTGTTTTTGAAAGCCCTATTCGTGTATTTTTTTTCGTTTTTTTGTTGTTGTTGTTGTTTTTGAGACAGAATCTCACTCTGTTGCCTGGGCTAGAGTGTCATGGTCTCAGCCTAGCTCATAGCATTTTCAAACTCCTCCGCTGAATCAATCCTCCTGCCTCATTCTCCGAAGTAGCAGGGACTACAGGCGCTCAGCACCACACCCAGCTACTTTTTTTTACTTTGCTCAAATTCCTGAGCTCAAGGGATCCTTCCGCCTTAGCCTCCCAGAGAGCGTTAAGATTATAAGTGTGAGCCACTATGGCTGGCCTACTGATGCATTCTTATATGATCCTTAAAACAAGCCTATAAAGGAGGTAGACTATACTATGCTTTGCTGTAGAACTTTGCTTTGGAAATAGGGTTTAAAGAAATAGCTCCCTTGGCTCAGTGTCTATAGAACAGTGATTACTGTGCAAGCCACATACACTGAGGCTGGTAGGTTCAAACCTGGCCCAGGCCAGCTAAACAACAATGACAACTGCAACAAAAAATAGCCAGGTATTGTGGCTGGCACCTGTAGTCTCAGCTACTTGGGAGGCTGAGGCAAGAGAATCACTTGAGCCCAAGAGTTTGAGGTTGCTAAGAGCTGTGACGGCAAGGCACTCTATCTACTGAGGGTGACAAAATGAGACTCTGTCTCAAATTAAAAAAGAAGTAGCTCCCAATGTCAGCTAGCTGGGACTAGGACAGTGGTTCTCAACCTTTCTAATGCCATGAACCTTTAACATAGTCCAAAGGTGTCGTGACCCAGAGGTTGAGAACTGCTGGACTAGCAGAACCAAAGGGAGGAGGTGGCAGCCAGTTCTTTTTCCTCTTGTTCTCTTCTTACCTTTTGTGTCCTGATTCTGGTCCTACACAGATGGATTTACTCTGGCCAGTTAACAGTCCTGCTAAGTGTTACTTAAATTAATCTTACATATGAATGTTCCTTAGATTCCTGGTTAAGTTGTGTCTAAGGCACAGGATGCTTCAGGCAAATTAATCCTTTTATTGAGATAACATATTTGTCTCCCTTTGGCAGTAATGATTTTAATTTTAAAGTATAGATAATATATACACAGTAGCACCTCTGCAAGTTGACCACCCAAGGGACTGCAACAAACTAATCAACATACAGAGGTGGTCAACATAACAAGGTCTACTATACTGATATGTACATGTGGTGCATGTCTGGTCTGTGAGAATTAGATCAACTTAAGGAAATAGTCAATGTAGGGAGGTGGTCAACTATGGAAGGTCTACTGTATATGTAGTTCTCTGGCATGCAGGTTGTACTTAAAGGGTCAAGATTATATTACAAGTTTTAAAAAAATTGTGTATTTTCTATTTTGGTACCCATCTATTTTATAGAGGATGATTGAAGAATCATTGAAGATTGAAATGGGAAGAGAAATGAGTGATCAAGAAACAAAGGACAAATCTCCCCAGAAGGAAAACCCCTTAGAAAAATACATGAAAGTCATCCAGCACGGGCAAGACCAGGCGGTGGCAGATGAGGTGCCGATGCCATGGACAGGGTAGTCTCTGAGTGGGGATACCCAAGGCTATGTGGTTTATTTTAACATCTTGGGACAGGAATCTGTCTTCTCAATTGAAGACAAAAAGGTTAAAGCATAAAAAATCCAAAGTTCAAATGGAACCTTGAATCTTTTAAAAATATTATACTCTTGACTATGACAAATGTCATAGCTTTTGCTTAAGTAAAAGACTTAAGAAATTTTTTGTTTTGTCAAAGTTTGTATATCTTAATAAGAACAGGAAAAGAAATGTCTCAGTACTAATGCATTTATTATGAAGATAGATCTTTCATTTTTTAAGTCAAGTATATTGACTTAAAGTATGTTGAAAATGCATACCATATAGTTTTATTTCTACGTGCTTGCTAAATTTTTTGTTTTTTTTTTTGCAGTTTTGGCTGGGGTTAGGGTTTGAACCCACCACCTCTGGTGTATGGGGCCAGCGCCTAATTCCTTTGAGCCACAGGCACCACCCAGTGCTTGCTAAATTTCATGTTTAAAAGTCTTCTCTTTTTTTTAGACTCTCAAATAACATATTTCAAAAATAGTTCTTAGGGAAACAAATGTTCATAAAATTAATGTACATCTAATTTCAAATGTCTTCTTTCCCCTTCTTTGTATCAGGGCTCAAAACATAAGGTCAGAGAAGTTTCTCTAGTGGACACGCTGCCACCTAGTGACAAAGATGAAAGGTATGGTTTCCCTGAATATTTTTCCATATCTGAACCATTATTACTCATTTTTTCAGACAGTGGAAATGGTCAGGTGTTCTAGCTTGCCTATAAGAAAATTATTGAATCAATCAAAATTACTGACTGTAAAACAAATCATGTGTTTCTTATCTTGTGGAATTAATGCTGATATACATTATAAGTGAGGGCAGAAACCCCACAGGGAAGGAATGAGAACATTTATGAAGATCCCAAATAAACCTGACATGAATTTTTTAATCTTTAATTTTTGTCTTCCTTAATTTAGTTTCACAGGCTTTTCTCCTGAAGACCTAGAGGACTCTTGGTAATCACGTTTGCTCCCCAGATTCTTGCATACAACCGGGAATAATATAACATTGAGCTAAGTGTTTCTCTGTAATCGAACAAAATCCTCAATAAAAATTTTGTGAAATCAGCATGATTTTTTTCTCTAATTCCATGTTATACTGCAGTATATGAACCAAGAATAATCTTAGTTAAGTGAAACCCTTCTCCAGTGATAGAATTTCTCATTCATCACATCAAAATGAGCTGGTTTTGTTTTTTTTTTTGAGATAGTTTCACTTATTAACCTTTGGTAGAGTGCTGTGCTGTCACAGCTCACAGCAACCTCCAACTCCTGGGCTTAGGTGCTCTCGCCTCAGCCTCCCAAGTAGCTGGGACTATAGGCACTCGCCACAATGCCCAGCTATTTTTTTGTTGCAGTTTGGCCGGAGGTGGGTTTGAACCTGCCACCCTCGGTATATGGGACCGGTGCCCTACTCATTGAGCCACAGGTGCCGCCTGAGCTGGGTTTTTTTTTCTTCCTTATTTTTGTCTAAATTTTTTTTAAAGACTAGTGAAGCATAATTGTGAGAAGGGGGAAAGAGTAGAACAAGGAGTTCAATCTGTAACTGACTATGAACAACCAAGTGAGGTAACTCTCTACCTTCAGACCAGTCTTGTCTTAAATTTTTAAATAAGTAGAACCTATCTTTATTATCAACTACAGGCCTACATTTTAGAAGTTGAAGCTATGTTCTGCCCTCAGTTGGGCTTCTACCTGTAAAACAGGAGGCCATCTTCTCTAACAGTGTTTTGTCTCTGAATATTATTTTTCTAGGCATAAGAAATAGTCTCATCTCTGTTCTTTACTTTTGACATCTTCTATGGTTTGAATGTATCTGTCTTTCCCAAATTCATATGCTATAATTTAAACTCCAATCTGATAGTTTTAGGTGATTAAGTCATGGGGGTGGAGCCCTTGTGAATGAGATTCAAGACTTCATCAAAGGGCTCAAGGGACCTTAGCTGTGCTCTTTTGCTGCCCTTCTACCTTTTGAGAACACAACAAAAAGGTACCATCTTGGAAGCAGAGACTGAACCTTTACCAGACACAGACACCAAACCTGCCAATGCATTGACCTTGGACTTCCCAACCTCCAGAACTGTAAGAAACATTTGCTCATTATAAATAACCTAGTCTAAAGTATTTTGTTATACATATTGCAGCAGGAACAGACTGAGGTAACATCTTTATTATGGAATCTTTGGTCCTCATATTTAATGAATGAACTTAGTGTTTTTCATAGTTTTTTTTTTTTTTTTTTGGCCAGGGCTGGGTTTGAACCTGACACCTCTGTCATATGAGCCAGCGCCCTACTCCTTTGAGATACAGGTGCCACCCTCTTTTATTGGTTTTTAAGTGAATAGACCCCTTCCCTGTAATTTTGATTTCATCTCTTAAAAGTCAAATCTTAAAAGGTATAACTGGGAAAAATCTCTTCTGTAGAAGGTCCTACATTTTGTGGTAGGATTATGGTCAATAATTAAGAGACTGCTTATGGTCTAACCATTATTTACGGTTTACTCAGTTGACTCATGACTTAAATTCCAGAGTTATTTAAAAAGCTGTTTAAACAGAAGGTGCTAAGTAGTGTGACAAATAGCACATTAATTGGGCTCCTGATTGTTCTCCTACCATGAGTAAGTGAAGGTTGTCAATCCATCCAGAGTCAGTACCTCATTTAGAAATGTCAGTGTGTTGATAATGACAGAGGCTGGTCCTCACTAGGAAAGGCCAGATGTAGAAAATTCACATGTATAATCATGTTGACAGATAAGTAGTTTATAAAATAAAATCTTAAATAACAAATTTAGTGGTGCTTTCGAGAATAGCTGTTAGAGCTAGATACCTTTTTGTGTGCTCCTGAATAAATCTTTCAATAGATTTGTATGCCTTGGGTTTGAAAAGAGCCAGCAGCACATGGACCCGTATTAAGGCTTCTCATTGTTTCTCCTTTGCCAAGCTTAAACCTTGTGTTAATCCCATAAATTGGTGGCTTTTTTATTTGTTGGAGAAGCTAGTCTGAAAAATTCTTTTCATGGAGAACTGTAGAAAGTGCTAGTGGCACCTTACGTCAAATATAGCCCACTGTGTTACAAGATTTTCTGATTGCTCTCGCTGAAAGAGATGTTTGTCAGAAATAAAACAAGTTGCTGTCCATACAAATGTGAAGTCTTGATTACGCATATTTAAAAATGACACCATACTGAGGACAAAGAAAGATAGGATTTATGTATGGTAAAAAGGCAAGTGAATGAAGCTATAATTTTATTTCATTACTCTTAGTACATCCACAACTATTTCTGCCTAAATAAATCTTTAAAATAAGCATACACAAGTATTGACTATTATCTACAAATATTTATTGTAACACTTGAATAGAACTACAGGAAGCCCTTGGCACTGATAGAAAATATTGATTCACTGTTAGGTTACAAAAATTTATACATAGCAAAATTTAATGCTCTTTACATAAAAAATATTAGACTACTTAAACAAAACTTTTGAAAATTCCTGGTAATAGCTACCAGAATTAGAAAAGTAAAATTAGGTTTTAGACACTGCCTCTTCTAGAACACTGGACTCTGACAGCACCTCCACTGCTGGAAAGAATAGTTAAGTCTGTCATGCAACAGGAAAACAAAACACTAAGCTATTTCAGAACTGTTCTACATAGAAGAGAGCTTCTCCCAATTAAAAAAAAAATCCAAATACGCAATTTAGGCATTAACAAAAAAAAACAAATGAAATATACTTGCTGTTCAATTTTAATAGCATCGTGATAAAGGTATGCTTCCTTTCATTTGAATACATTTCTGCACGTGTATATGTTTTAAAATCCAGGAAACAGCCAAACCACAAGTTAACTCTTAACATGAATATACACAGTTAACCCTATATTAAGCAGCCCCTTTGAAAAGCACTGATGCACCCAACAGTTATATAGATCATTTATTTCATAAAGAACAACACAAAGTTTACCATCACTAATACCCAGTACCTATAGTCACTTAATGTTCTGGAACACAATGATGTAGAAAGGCAAGTTTCTTTTGAAAATGGCTTAAACTCAAGCAGTTTTCTTGCTGAACATCAAACCTTATTATTCCAGGAAACAGATTTAGATAAGAAAAAATGAAATAAATACCAACCCTAATTTAAATTACTTAAGTATTCAAGTCTATAAAAGTAGGAGGCTAGAGGTCTGTGGTCAGTTTGCAATTGAATTTTAGTAGTTCGTATGAAACTGTAAACTCCCTATCCAGACCATTTAAATGGTTTAGAATGGTGGTCATTTTAATAAGGTAACACTTCTTAATCAAGGAAAACATGGAACAAAATTCAGTGAAGGATTTTGGGGTCATGGTTATAAATCTGTAGCAATTTAGAGAAATACTCAGTAAGGCAGAGCTGACATTTATTTCCCTAGAAGAATGATAACTGGGTCAGTATCATTTTGTGAAAATGAAATCTGATAAATTGACACTGGAAAGCTTGTCAATGAGTCAGAATCCAGCTCCTTCAGTAGTAGGGTCAGAAGAATTGCTGTAGCTCATTTTAGCATTATTGAAAAATGTCTGTTTGGCTCGGGAAATGAATGGATCCTGAACTTGGGGTGGGGAAAACTAATTTAAAAAGTCAATTGTAAGAATCATGTTATCTTTGAACCAATGTTTAATAAAAATCAGCTTTCAGAAATGGAACTTCACACCAATTCCATTTTATTTCCTATGTAGATAACATTTGAGGACAGATGGCATATGTCAATTGATGGTTACATCCTTTGTCACTATGAAGGAGTATGAAGTTATTCCACTGCTTGTGATAAAATGGCTCTAGCAGTAAGCGTGAGTGTGCCACAAATTTCAAAAGAATGAAATGATTTTGTCAAAGTGTTGCCTTTTAAAATGGCTAATATGAAACCTCCAATATTTTTTCTAAAGAGAAAGATTTACCCACTGGAAGGTTTTCCTAGAGATACATCCCAGCAGCTTAGACAGAGAAGTGTTTGTACGTCTACATTAGTTTGTTTGGTAGGATACGCATCTGTACTGCAGAGCAGCTGTCTGATGATTTGTCAGAGCTGTCAATGCGTCGGCCGAAACACTCTGGGGCAAACATTTATGTGTAAGAATTGAGTTGTTCTTTTGACCGAGACTGGATATCTTGCAGTTCCTGTTCTTCCTTTGCTTTGATATCCTGGTAAGCCTGCATTTTGCTTGCATCCTTTAAGTAAGCCCAGTTAGAAGACAGTATCATGAGGAAGTGGATCTGGAAGAGAAGGGTGAGCATGATGGCTAGTGAGCATGTGAGAAGGCAAAGCGAGGTGCTAGTCAGAATAGACAGACTTGACTTTAAGGGGCAAGGGTTATTCTTATTAATACTTGCTCTGCCAGCAGAGCTGCCAGATACTGAAAGCATACTTTACTAGTTGGCTTCGCATTAAAAGGCTGAAGAAAAGTTAGTACACAAACAATGAACTGGACAAAAAATGGCCAAAGGGATTGTTAAGAAAAAGCAAAAATGAAAAACGACAGGGTGCTTTTTTACCATTTTGATAGTAAATTTTAAAGGCTAATGCAGAAGTTCAGAACATGTATTTATTTTAAGTAAGTGTAATGCAAAGATCTTTTTTACCTGTGGATAAAAATCAATTCCCCCAAAGGCCTAAAAGTGTGAACAACGTTTATTTCGAGTAAATAATTAAAAAGCTACATATTTAACATGGAAAAAATTAAATGAATGTCAAAACCAAAATTCAGAACTATAAGCAAAGCATGCAGTCTCTGTGTTAACAAACTCTTAGTAGTGAAACTACATTTTTCATTTTGTAAATACCGTATTTCATTTCACAAATGTAAAAATCCTTATTATCATTCTTTACAGTTGATGTGGCAAACACGTCTTTCCTGTTTATTTTCCTCATATTTCCTGCAAAGTAAATCTACAGCTCAAGTTCCTTCTAGTTCATACTTCCTTCTCAACATATTTGAGACCTTCAGATCCAGGCCTGGTTTCTCTTCCTGTTAATATCTTATGTGTAGTTTGAGAACTAGCTATGAGGAAACAGTTATTACTCAACAAAACACAAAAATTTATGGTTGCCAGTTTTGTGGGCTGTAAAGGAATGATTGTGTTGTACCAAAAAAAAAAAAAACCCACATATAAATTCTTTTTATCAGAAAACAACTGGTGACCTTTCTTTTTCTTCAAATTTTCATCTGGCTTAGTTGAGGGGCATTTGGTAGTAAACTGTGTGATCAGAAAAAAATTAAATGTAAATCGTATTTGTAACATTTTCCAGAAAGAATCTGACAAAGCAAAATCCAGATTAAACTGATTCTCTTCCATTTCATCTTCAGCACTTGCTTTCATTATCATTATTGACATTTGTTACCAAACAAATAACGGAAAATGTGGGTATTCCAAAGTGTTAAATTTGAGCAGTATCTCTAAATGAAGTATTAAGTTCAAGAGAATTCCTTTTGAAAGGATGCTCACCAATGTCAGTAAATAACTGAATCCTTTTCAAAATGTGGAAATAGCCAGATCTCATTATTTTGTAATTCATGTACAGTAAGTCATCTTATTAATCTACCATGCAAAATGAGTTTACTAAATAAAGCTATTTACAAATTACTGTAACAGAACTGCGGCAACCTAGACTGCTTTAGTCTGGAGTGTCAGTTACATTTCATGCTACAGAGCATAACTCTCTAAAGCTCCTTATTGGCCTTATGCAATTTAGAATTTAGTGCAGCAATCTTCCCGACTCTTAAACTTCAAAACCGCATAGTTATATGTAGTAGCCATCATGTAGATCAGCTGGTGGAAGAGAACAAAACAGGACAGTAAGATAAAGACAGTGAGGCCGATGCCATGACACTTCTAAACTTGGGCGAGATGGTGCCTACTCCTAACCTAAGGTGCTGCTTTCCCCCCTACAATCTCAGATGACTAGCACAGACAAACAGGGTGAGTCCTTTGCTCTGCCCTCGGACATTTTTTCAGAGGACTTGGGCATGTTTAAAGAATAACAGAGCTGGGCGAGCAGCACGAGAAGGATGAAGCTAATACCTCATCTTCCATCTTCCCCAGCTGCCTCAGCAATTAGTCCTCATCCTGTGCCTGCTGCTCAGCCAGGAGCACAGGTTGCCACAGGTTTCTTTCATGGGCTGTGACCGAGGAATGACAATGGGTAAACTGGGACTGACTCATTTTCCAGCGGCTGAGGTTTTCCCCTTGCTCTACCAATCTTAGTTGGTTTTCTTCAAATCAAGCCCTCCAAAATCACATGCATTTACACACACTACAAGTGTGTGCTGACATTCGTTAACATTCTATTTCGTTAACATTCTATTTTTGTGAATTTGCCTACTTGTTGAAATTTATTTGTAATCCCCAGGCTGATAATCAAGGCACCTTCAGTTGTTGGGAGATGTGTACAGAGCGGTGAAAAAGTTGTTACCCAGTTCACACATTCCCAGATGAGGTTGAACATGACGACATTCTGCCACCTTGTTTCCCCTCTCAGATGGTAAACAAGTGTCCTTGAAATGTATACAGGGACATGTTTTTCACATTTTTATTTATGATATGTTGGTTATTCTGAAAATGGTTCCCAGGCATAGTGCTGCAGTACAGTCTGGGGTCCCTAGCACAAGAAGGCTACTGGAGAGAATGTGTTAGATAAACTCTGTTCAGGCAGAAGTGACAGTGCCATTGTTCATGAATTCAATATTTATGAAATAAGGTGTCTTTACACAGAAACACACATAAAGCAAATTATGTATTGATAGGTTGATGAAAATGATGTGACCAGAGGCTCACAGGAACCCTACTGTGTTGCCCTTAGGAGTGATAGTTTGGTATAATGAGATCAACTATACACACACTCACATGTGTATATGCATATTGCCATTTGGAAGTTAAGATTTCTGCTGAATGCAACAAGGCAGTAGGCTAGACCTGGCCAACAGGTGTTGGTATCCTCACCTCTTTCTAGAGTCCAAATTACAGCACCTACAATTGATACCAAGGCAGCCAACCAGTACTTCCTGTAAACTGTACATGTGGTAAGTTTCCACATGGGCCAGGTACAAGGTTGAGTGCCAGGGTCGTTGGTTTTGGTAAGCAGGTAAAAGCTGGAATGGAAATCTGTCATTTAGGGGCTGGAGGGAAGGGGCTAGACTGGGGTGATCCTGGGGCAGTTACTCACCAGGGCAATGACGGTGGCACCAGCTCCTGCACAGGCCACAATGAACAGGTGATAGGACATGTAGAACTAGGAAAGAACAGGGGATCAACATAAACATTGGGTATGGGATGTAACAGCCCACACTGCTCCTGGGTGCTACTTCATCTTTCTCCTTTGCTGCTGTTCTCTGCAAGGCTAGGCATAGGCTTATGCCTGCTTCAAGCTCTTGATTGCACACTGGAATCACCTGGGGAGCTTTAAAAACTTTCTGATGTCCAGGCTGCCCCTCAGACCAAGTAAATCTGAATGGCGGGGGCTGGACCTCAGTCATCAGGATACTGTAATGCTCCCTTGAAGACCACAATATGCATCTAAGGTTGGGAGCCCCTGCTTTGAGCTGTTCCCTATTATGGATGTACAAGTTGACAAGCCAGATAGGGTAGGGGAAACCTGTTAGGATGTTCTTAAATATGCAGACTTCTACCAGTGCATTTAAGAATTTTTTGTTATAAACAGTTATAAACCAATGACTGAAGAATAGGGCTAAGAAAGTTTAAAACCTAAGTGTTAGGCTATATTGCCAATTAAGAATGTATGAGAGAAAAATAACAGCAAGTCATTCTGGAAATATAAATGATTAACTGTGGCATCATTTATTCAAAATTTGGTAGATATACAAATTCAATGGAATCTTTTCTATGAAAATTAACTTACATTTGTTCTGTGACAAGTGTTATATTTTGGAAAACTTTCTAAAGGGGAAAGAGGAATCTAGATACCTTCTCAGATTTATAGGTTTGGGATCACTCCTAAATTACTGCCCAAGGAAAAATTCTCCAGCTCATAAGCATCCTCACTGAATGGGCTGGACCATATGAAGTAGCCATTTTTGTAGGTTGAAGATGGCAGAATAGTAATGGTTACATACAGTTCAATCTTAAAGCATCTCCACAAAAGAGATCTCCTTACTAGCATTTTAGCCATCTCGCTTGCTCTTTCTAGCTGCCTAGTACGCAGTGATCCATATGGCAGCACTCTGAACTGTGCCAGGCTTACCTCATTCGTGTTGCAGATGTTCTCTAGGGCAGAGCCACATATTTTTCCTGGGAAAGCATTCCAAGGAATGATACCTGTAAAATGAACCCCAAGAGAATGTTAGTGTGAACTACAGTGCCTCTTGTTCTTAACAGACCCTGCACTTTGCATGACGTATGTTGTGACTGTAGGCTATGTTCTTCATCAACAACTGATGTTCCTGCTATCTGCACAACAGGCATTTTGGAATTGTAAGCCCTATTTGGACAATGGGAGAAGAGCAAAGTCAACTAGCCTGTAAGAGATTTAAACAGGTATTTTTTCCCCTACAAAATTTGCTTGTTCAGTAGAGTTGATACTTGTTAAAAACTGATTTTTCAATCTAAGCTTTCCCTACGGTGCATTGATTGGTTAGACAAGCACAGGATGACCCTTCCATAAAGTGTTTTATCATGCTGAAGTCAAATACCAGAGAGTGAAACAAGCACAGCCCATGGAGTCTCATTGTAACCCTGAGTCCCCTCTGCAGTGACAACTGTCCATTAGCTGCTGCTCTTTTCCCCCTTTAATGCATAGGTTTGTGGTTAAATACTAAACACAGCTCAGTTTACCGTTCTCCTAGGAGGTAGGGAAGGAGTATTTAAAAAATATAACTCTCCATCCTTGACATGAGCCAAGAAAAGTCGTTATGCCTCAGAAGCATTGGAAATGACCAGTCCAAAGTTGTGAGTGAAACCAGTGATTTTTGAGAACTAGTTCTCTATAATCATCTTAAAATCCTCTATTTTGAGTACCAAAAATTTGTGGCAAAATACTTTTAAAGAAGGGGGGAATGACATACATTTAGATATTCATTTATGAATACTTTAGAAACCAACTTTACACTTTGAGCCAGAGTTCCACTCTGTTACTCAGGCTAGAGTGCCATGGCGTCAGCCTAGCTCACGGCAACCTCAAACTCTTGGGCTCAAGAGATCCTTCTGCCTCAGCCTCCCAAGTAGCTGGGACTACAGGCACCCACCACCACACCTGGCTAATTTTTCTACTTTTAGTGGAGATGAGGTCTTGCTTGTGCTCCGGCTGGTCTCCAACTCCTGAGTTCAAGCGATCCTCCTTCCTCAGCCTCCCAGAGTGCTGGTATTATGCCCAAGCAGCACTCTCTTTTTAAATCCATCACAAGGAAGAGAGTTGTTGAGCCTTAGTCTTTGTGAGAAGAGATTAGGCCTGATGGGCAATTTTAGGCTAGTTTTGTATTATGTTGTAAGATAAGATGTTGAGAATAAGCCACATGAGAAAAACGAGAAGCAAAAATGAAAGTCATCTTTCTCCAGAAAAGCTCTGGATGGACAGGTATTTCTACTTCAATGCTAATGAAATCCCCCCCCCACATTGTTTCTGCCAAGAACAGATTTCTTATCATCCTAGCTAGAATCCTCGTTAGACTTCTTCCTTAGCATGCTGCCTTCTCTGGCTCAGCAGGGAAGTTGAATCCCAAGTTTATTGACAGGACAGGCAGGGCCTATGGCCCTTCTGTAGCTTGTCACAAGGAACCGAACCGAACCAACCTTAGTTCCCTAGTGTAAAAATCCCATTCTTTAGAAAATATGCTTGAACCAGTAGCCAGCAGCTGACGATGACATTCTAATGACTTTAAAATAGTCTGGATTTTATGTTATGTTTTTCAGTACAGATGAAGTGTAAGCAAGGGATCACTTAGACTTGAAGAGTTAGATGTGTAAATTAAGTGAATTATAGTGTTCAATATTAATTTGGAAAGTCGTATGTTATAGATGTAAAACTAAAAAAAATTAAAGAAAAGCTATATAATCTTTTTCTTTTTTGAGACAGTCACACTTTGTCACCCTCAGTAGAGTGCTGTGGCATAAGAGCTCACAGCAACCTCAAACTCTTGGGCTCAAGCGTTTCTCTTGGATTAGCCTCCCAAGTAGCTGGGACCATAGGCACCCACCACAATGCCCAGCTCTTCTTAAAGACAGAGTCTGGCTCAGGCTGGTCTCAAACTTGTGAGCTCAGGCAATCCACCCGCTTTGGCCTCTCAGAGCAGTAGGATTATAGGTGTGAGCCACTGTGCCTGGCCTATATAATCTTTTTATAGTGGCTATCCAGAAGTCTTCTTTGATTGAACTGAATTATTCTTTTAACTGAATTATTATTTTAACTATAAAATATCACATCTTTATCAGCTTTCTCTAGGAATTAAAACCCTCAGTGATGTTTCTATCTAGAAAACTGAGCATGTTGAGGGAAAGAATATGAAACAGACCATATTAAACGCCCATATAATAAATAAGTCCAGATGAATGTACAAGAGGAGAAAGGAAGTACCATATTGCCGGATATCCACGCAGATCTGTTCCACACCTGTGGTCCCGTTGGTCTGGGGTGACTTGATGACTTCACAAGTTGACCATATGTTGTAGAACATAAACACAGGCACTGCCGAGAAGCCAAACACGCCCAGCCAGGCCACTCCAAGCACATAGGTGAGGAAGACAAACTAGGCCGAAACAAGAGGAAAAAGAATCAGCACTGAACGGGGTGGGTGCATCCCCAGAGGAAGGCTCACCCCCACTGTGGGATGCCTTGGAGACCATCGGGGCTGTGGCAGCCAGAAGGGAAAGCCTGGGGCACGGGAGAGCAGGGGTAGTGAGAGCTAGCCACGCTGCCCAGAGCTAGAGGAAGAGGCTGCAGCACCCCTCGTAGGTCCCTTCTTTAACAAGGCTAGGATTCCTAGCTAGGATCACTTCCCAAGAAGTGATCTCACATGTCCATGGTCGCAGAGCTATAGTTAGTGACAGGGCCTCCCATGAGACACCATCTAAACATCAGTTCTGAAAAGTCAGCATCCTATTTAACATGTAATACTCTCAGGGCGCTTCCTGGGCCAGTGAATTATAACTTCATAGGAATTCCTGCCAAATTATCTTTATTTTATGTAATAGAGGGCTGGTAGGATAGCAGTCACTACAAGAAGCCTCTCAAAAGGAACTTTGCTAGTTTCTTGATCCCGTGAAATTACTAAAAGCATCAGATCCTTGAACCTTCATCAAAAGTTTCAAATAGTCCTGAGCACAAGCTTAATGCACAGTGACTGATAAAATTCTCATTTCCCTGTAGTTTTGTCTCTAAGATTCACAGCAGCTTTGCAAGCAAAGCAGTGGCTTAGAGGGAAAGCTTCTAAAAAGCTTGATCTGTGACCTTGGACATGTGAGATCACTTCTTGGGATCACGTCTATGTTCACCCATACATTGCCACGGATGATTCCGGGAAGAATATAATCCTAGTGCTTTACTTTTCAGTATAACCTGCCTTGATGATCAATTTCAGAGAACTTTGAAAGGCTGCCTCAAAGACCTTATGGGATTTCTGTTTTCAGAAGGTGTACTGGGCGGTGCCTGTGGCTCAGTGAGTAGGGTGCCGGCCCCATATACTGAGGGTGGTGGGTTCAAACCCGGCCCCAGCCGAACTGCAACAAAAGCTAGCCGGGTGTTGTGGCGGGTGTCTGTAGTCCCAGCTACTGGAGGCTGAGGCAAGAGAATCGCCTAAGCCCAAGAGCTGGAGGTTGCTGTGAGCTGTGATGCAACAGTACTCTACAGAGGAGTGAGACTGCCTCTAAAAAAAAGAAAAAAAAAAGAAGGTGTACCCACAGAGCATGTGGGTAAGGATTTGCAGCCCTTCTAGTTTGGCTTTTATTTTTTTAGGCTGGTGGTAGAGGACTGGACTCCTACTGACTTTGTACACTGAGCAGCTACCTGGGTGGTGAGAGGCCACCCTCTGATGGCCACACCAGGAAACTGCAGAAACAAGGTACTTCCCTTTATTTCAAGGAACCATTTCAGCAATGTCACCTCCCCTTTCCTCTCCTAATGCTTAAGATCTGGCTGCTCCAGACTAGGCTGGGTTTTTTTCCCCTCCAAAAGAAAACTTTACTTTTTAATAACACTACAAAGACCTGAGCAGAGGGGATTGGTGGTTCTTAGCCTTGGTGAGCCTTCCCTCCCAGGCCAATACCGCCCCCTCCCCAACCAACTCCCCATCCTCCCACACCCGTCTTGATGGCCTCTAACATTCCAGCTGCTTCCTCAATGAGATCCTGGACACAAGCCTCCCACAAAGGGTTGAGGACAGGGGCAGCTTGCTTCCCTGGTGGGCTGAACTCATCTGCCTTCCCCCCACCCAACTTTCTGTCCTGAGCCTATGCCTCAGCTTCCTGAGCCCTACCCTGTCACCTGTGTCTTCCTAACACCCTCCAAGGTTAGCGTCATGATCCCTTGAGCAGATGGAGAAACCAGAGCACGCGGTGTCTCACAGCAACCTCCAACTCCTGGGCATAGGTGATCTTCTTGCGTCAGCCTCCCAAATAGCTGGGAATACAGGCGCCTGCCACAATGCCCTGCTATTTTTTTGTTGCAGTTGGGCCAGGTTTGAACCTGCCACCCTCGGTATATGGGGCTGGCACCCTACCGACTAAGCCACAGGTGCTGCCCCCAAGGGCTCTCAAGGAGTAGGGTGCCAGCCCCATATGGGGGGGAGGGCGGCAAAGTTGTTTTCTTTTTTACCTTCTTTCCTTTTCTTTCAAATGCTAGACCAATGCAGCCAGCTGCCTGTGAGACATTTCCATGTGACTATGCCACCATAAACTCACTTGGTAAACTCAAATTCAGCCTGCCAATAATCAAGCTCCATGGAGGCCTCTACCCTCCTTTACTCTCAACTCACCACGTGTTTCCTTTTATGATGCAGAAATGTTTAAGCCTAGCTTTTAATTAGCTATTTTTAACATTTGTTGCCTTCTAGACCAGCAACCAGCAATGTTTCCTTACTATAAAGGGGCAACCAGGAAACAGATTAGGCTTTGCAGGCCCACATCGGTCTCTGTTGCAGTCACTCAACTCTGCTTCTGCTTTTTAGCAAGAAAGGGGCCCTAGGCATATGCAAATGAATGGGTGTGGCTATACACCAATAGCACTTTATGTAAATTTTAAGTTGAGCATCAGAAATAATTTTCATGTATTATGAAATATTATTCACGTGTTTTTTTCCAACCACTTAAGGACAGAAAAAGGATTCTTCTTGAGCTCTACAAAACCATATAGTAGGCCAAATTTGGCCTGTAGGCTGTAGTTTGCTAACTACTGTCTTAGACTATAAGCTCCTTGGAAAGGGGGCCTGTGTTTCAATTTTTATACCTCTTGGCTGGCAAAGTCCCATACTTGGTACAGTAAGAGTGCTGGTAAACATTTACAGAAGGATTGCGACAATTTCTCATAGTACATGTATGTTTTTATGACCATGATCTGTATTTTATTTTTATTTTATTTTTTGAGACAGTCTCACTCTGTCACCCTAGGTAGAGTGCTATGGCATCATAGCTCACAGCAACCTCATACTCTTGG